TTGAAATAGCGATTCCAGGCTTCACTGAAATTGTTTGTCTAGCCAAGATCATTGAGCACAGCCTGATGAATGTTCCACTTCTGTGGCGGAAATGTTGGGGGTCTCCCTTCACAGTTCAAAGTTCGATCGCAAATGCGTTTGTTCTTTGGTAAATTCGGATAATTGTTTTTCTTCCCTTTGAGGGCTTGCAATCTTTTTTTTTATCTGATTTTGTGGTTTTTTATTATTTAATTTTACTATTATTTGGCGTGCGCGTGCGGTTTGGGGCTTTTGTTACAGCTACGGCGGGGATTTCGTGTCAGTGCTATGGTTGCGCGGGGATTCCGTGTCCCGGGGATAGTGACGGTTTCCCGTTCGAATCAAGCTGTAGGTCAGATCCGGGAAAAACTCCGTACAAGTCAATTGGTAGGGACACCTCTAGAGTCTAGAACACACGTTCACCTTTTACCATGACTGTGCCGGCAGGTGGTGTCCTATCTTGCTGGGCCCTGGTGAAGGTACCCAACCAAAAGCCTCCCCCCTGCCAAAAGCCCCCCTCCACCACTTTGCAATGCAATTGGATGCAAGTTTCATAATAGTACTTGGTGGCCCAGAGAAGGGCTATTTGGTTTCATTAGTCCTCAAAAGGACTGTTTAATAATCATCTTCAAAATTGCCTTTGGCTGCCTCTTCCTCACCGTCGATGATGCTCTCCGTGTCATTTTCTTCTAAATAGTCATTGTAGTATGCAATTGGACCGCCCTTCTGATTATTGATGATCTGAAGTGCACCAGCCATTGAACCAACAAGGTGAACTGTAGATTTTGCATAAGTTAGCAAATCATGATGATTTGAAATTCAAAGAATCACTGATGGACCATTGCAGGTGAAGAATCCCTTTATATACTCAACTTACCAACATACTGGTACTTGGCCTTGTGCTGGGCCTGCTGGTGAAAGTTGCAGCTTACCATCAAGAGTTACAAGAATACCTGTAATCCCCAATTTTTGAACCTAGGGGGGGCTTTTGACCTAGCAGGGCTTTAGGCACAGGGGCTTTTGACCTAGGGGGGGTTTTGGACTAAACCCATAGTTTCTTGCTGGAGCAGAACTCTTGGTCAGCCAAACTCTAGGCCACTGCATGTGGCCCTCAGTGGATTTTTGGGCCACCAGATTTTTTTTCCCAACAGGATTTCATCATGATGGAGCCTGGATGTTCTACGGTTTGTATACTTATCCTCTGTACAAATTTTAAAACTCCAATTTAAAAATTTCTTTCCAAAAAATGAAGAGTATGATGTGAAATAAGATAGTTTCATAAAAAATTTATTTGAAATTTTTAAAATAAGAGGGTATGCTATTGGAACTTCAGAAAATTGAAAAACATTGCAGCTGTAGCTAGGACTCTGGCAGTAATATTGATGGTGCATTTTACATTGTGCATTCGTGAATTACTTAATGAATGCCCCAAGTGGGCCAATTTTCATCAGGAAAGCACCAAAAAGATATTTTTCTAATTGCAAATATCTTAAAACATAAGAGGCAGAGAAACATTTTGTATGAGACCCATCTTTTTAGAAATCTGTGAAATCTGAATTTCAAAATGCTGCTAAATTTTGTACAGTGGTGCCTCACCTAATTACCACAATTTCTTCCTGCATGGTGGTCATTCAGTGAAATGGTTGCATTTAAGGCGGGTTGCTTTTTCCCTGAAGGAAAAATCCATTAATTGGTTCCTGAGAAAAAAACATCTGGCAGAAAATATGTGAACATTTGCCTAAATTTTCAAATAACCAAGCACAGATCTCTAAAAACACTGCTATAGTTCATTCAAATGCTTTCCTTTATTGAATTGCCTTGCTCTCTTGAGAATAACCCATAAAATAAATAGCATTTGTACTGCTTTTGTATGCGACATCTATGAATGATGCAGGAGTGAACCCTCCTGTGTAACTTTGCATAGATGTCACTTTTGCATGAGGCCCATTAAGCAATTTTAGGCCTCTACTCTAGAATATGCCCAATTACAATTTATTTCCATTCTATTCACTTTCCCTCAATAAAAATACTTGAGAAACAACCATTTTTGTTGAGAGGAAGAAACAACACCATTTGATTTTTGTACTTCTGAATTTATTAGTTCAAGGGAAGGCCAGAAAATGTTCAGCCTAGCATCAAATGGTTGCTAGGCCGGTCAATGGTTGTTAGGCAAGTCTTTTGTAAAGTTATCAGTGGATGTTGGGCAGATCTGTTGTTAGGTGGTGTGGTTGTTAGGCAAGGTCCCATTGTATCTAAAGAAAAATTGAGTGAGATACAGTATTTGCTTTTTTGTTTTGCATGAGGAATTATTATGTAATTAACACAATTTCACCTGGAAATATTGTAAAACGCACTATCAATGTTACTGCCAGAGTCTTAGCTATACAGCTGCAAAGTTTCTCAATTTTCTGAAGTTCCAATGTCATGCCTTCTTATTTTTTAATTTCAAATAGAAATATTTATGCCACTACGTTATTTTGTATCATTCTCTTCCTTTTCTGAGAGGAAACATTTTTTGAAAATGTCAGAGTTTCCAAAAATGTTTTGGCACCAAAATTAATGAAAAGCTGGTTAGTTTTGAATTTTTTTTCTCACCTCAAATCAAATTTTAAATTCAAAAAGTTTCAAAAATGTTTTGGCTCCAAAATTCATGGAAAGCTGCTGCCTGTTGCAAGAAATAATAAAGGAATAGAGCTGGAGATTTTGGGTGGGTCACCAACCCAACTACAGAAGAGGTTAAAAGTCTTACCCTTTGGGGTGCAGGAGAAAATCCCGTAGGAGAAAAAATCCCATGGCCCAAAAATCCCGTGTAATCCTGTAGGCCAAAAAATCTCGCGGGGTCCAGAAATCCCGTAGGTACGAAAATCCCTTACAATACAAAATTTAGGTATTATCTCTGAGTTTTCCATCCAACTGCATTTACAGTAATCTTCTGTGGCCTGTGGGTGGGAATCTTGTTAAGTTGAATGGCTTTTTGATTTTAAAAAATGTATTCTCTATCATGTGCTGTACCTTGAAATTTAACTTTGACGAGATGAAATATACCTATATAACTGCATTTAGACTTATTTGATGATTTAGAAATTATTTACAGACCATCACCATATATGTAGATATCAAAGGAGGTATTGAGGATACCCGGAGGTGGGAGGATATTGGGAATCAGTGAAGAAGAAGGTGACTTGCGGATGACGAATCTTGTGAGCCCCCTGCTTCCAGCACCAGTGGAGGCTCTGGCTGGTATCCTGTTCCCGTTCCGCAGTTTGCAAGATGAAATTGAGGATGAGAAGGCCATGGATGAAGGCGAAGATGACCCAACGTCCAAAGATGATGCTGTAATGACCCAGTTCAAGGAATCACTGGCTGCAATTCGAGAGGAGTATTTGGAAAAGCACGAGGCCTCGCAGAACCAGGCTTCGAAATCAGGTTAGTTGCACATGACTGCTGAGTAACATTGCAGGAAACGTTTCGAGTTGCAGAACACCGCAACCATAGTTGCATTTTCTTTTAATAGATGTCGCGTTATGGTCGAGTCTCCCATAATTTTTACGTTTCTTCGGGAATTTTTTTGATGGGGTATGATGACTTTTGATTTGATTGCCTTCACCTGCCTCATTTTAGTGGTTAATCCACAAATGTTCTGATATGGTGTCTGGTCCTTATTCTTGCAGATCAAGCTCCAGTGTGAGGTGTGGAAATTCGGCCACTGTGCGCTGCTGCTGCGTGGACCATCAAAGACGAAAACTGTGTCCAAGTTATTTATTTTTATATTTTTTACTATGTATGTTGTGTTGTGAACTGAAAACATGCTCCCAAAGTCAAACGTACGCTTTTCTTGTTCTCTATTTGTTCAAGGTAATGTATATTCTAAACTGTGTCCTAGTTATTTATTTTTATATTTTTTACTATGTATGTTGTGTTGTGAACTGAAAACATGCTCCCAAAGTCAAACGTACGCTTTTCTTGTTCTCTATTTGTTCAAGGTAATGTATATTCCCTGTTTAAAAAATCCATTCTGCAGCATGGAGAAACGAACCTTCCAGAAATACCTCTTCCAATATTATATTATTGCAAAAAGATAAATTGGAAGCAATGTTGAGTCATGACTTGATTCCCAAAATAACCGACGAAAAACATGGATAATATTGAACCAATTTTTAGGGTGAAGCAACACGAATAAATGTAAAGTCACGGAGAGAAAAGAGAGGTTCACGTACAACGTTTTACGGGTTAACACTAAACAAGAATACATCAAAGGAAGTTAATAAACTATAAGAGTTGTTGCGGGATTTCCATCTTCCAATTGGAAGTCTTCGAAAGTGTCGAAAAAATTCACGACATGCCACATTTTATGAAGTTGCCAATATTTTAATACGGGAATCCTCATGCAAAATCCTTTGAGTTTATAGCACACATGTCCTAATATTACTGATCTATTGTTTTTTCTGCCTATCCTGCAGTCTGAAAGCAGAGTTTTCAACACTTTCACTGGGGCGGCTGAAATTATGTCGCCAGGCCTAACCTCGTCATGCTGGTGTAAAGTCGTCAAAATTTATTCTCGTCAGGAATAGCATCGCATTTTGGCATTTCATTTTTCTGCTGAACTGGATTAAAATCGTCCAACTATTTTTTCCGTATCAATGGCGCTTCTTTTTCAAGGCTTCCAAAGTGAACGTCCCGCAACAATACCTTCGCAGAAAAAGTAATACTGTAATAATAAAATATATTTTTGAAGTGCAGTCACAGTTTTTATGTTAGATGCCAAGTGGCTTTGAACACTGCTGTGTTAGGAAATTATCTGTAGATAACATTCATAATTAAAGGTTTCAAAATATGGAAAGTTTTAGGGAAAATGTTATTACAGTATTGTGAATGCAGCAATTGCTGTAAATGACTCAGAACTCTGAAAAAATTGTAGAATGTACTTATGAAAATTGTTTCGCACAATTTGGAGGCCGGGTCATTGCAAACAAAATTTCAAGCATATGTATTATTTTTTCATTCATATGGAATGTTTGTTATTGTTGTTGAGAGAATGTACCTCAGCACCACAGAAGAAACCCACAGTGAGGGGTTTTCCTCCTATCCAATGTTATTTTTTAAATAAAAAAATTAGTCATCACTTAAACTGTGTTGTGAGGTGTCACTGCTATTTTTTGCTCAACCATCCTCCAAAAAGAAAGGGGCAAAGCACTCTGGACACATTCTTGGAAAAAAGTGCCTTGCATAAAAAAGCTGAGGAGGGTGAAGAAAGCCAGGAAGTGCTTTATATTCCACACACAGGTGCTGAGGTGGAGTCAGACTCTGAATGAGAGGGTGACATCTGTTTTGAAAACATTATAGAAACCTGAAACAAGGTGGTAATAGTTGTCAGAAGACCACTGCAGTGCTTTTATGTTTAATTACTGGGAATGGTTATCGTTACAGTTTCTTCAAAAATTGAGCGATTTGAACATGTTTTTCATGATTTCTCCATTTTTTCTGTTTTCAAGAACCAATTAATGTGATTTTGCTTATATGTTAAGGGAGGAATTGTCTTGCCTTACAACCATTCGCCTTAAAACCACTAAGTTTTAAGTTACTAAGTTTTTGATTTTCAGATGAGGCGCCCTTTCTTTGTTGTAGCCCTGCTTTCCCCTCCGAATTTTGAGTCCCGCCTCATCTTTCGAGTGGAAAGCCTTTTTTTTCAAAAATTCGGAGGGGAAAGCAGGGCTACAACAAAAAAAGGGCTCCTCATTTTTTGAGTGGAAAGCCAAACTCTGCCAGGGTGAATTATGTAAAAAATTCAAAACAATTTGTCAAACAGGGCTGATATTTTTTTGTGCGTCAAAGAATATGTTTTCCCAAAAGAAAAAAATTGTTTCAGCTCAACTGTAAACCATTTTCATTGCTACTCCAAGAACTTTTGTCAAAACCCTTGTAAATAATTACAATAATGGCAGAAATTTTAAAATTCTGCTGATTGCATGTTGTCTTAAGTTAGTGAAAGAAGACTTCAAGATTGCTTTGGAACAATTGGGACACAAAATCTGTCTGGACAGGAAATCCAAATTCAGGACATTTTTCTATGCCTGGATTTAAACACCCCAAAACAGAGTAACAAACAAGAATGCACAAAAAGGCCAGCAGAGGCAAAAAATGGCTGTACCCTGTGGAACAACACTTACAATTCCCCCTTGCATTGCTCTGCATGCGCATGCATGAACAAAATATTTGTGGACAAAAATGAGATTGAATATAATAAATTAATTTGATGTGAAGGACATGAAGAAATCTACAAAGAGTGTGCTTACCTTAAGCTATACAAGTACTGTATATGTGATGGTGCAATCACTATTATATACAAAGCATAATGCAATTTTCAAAATGTGCCCTGAACTAATATTTTTTCTTATTTCCATTTATGGAACTTCCAAATATGCTCTATCAATATGCTGTACAGTATACTCAAAATCTATTAAAATTCATAAAATCCATCATTACTAAAAAATTCAGGGGACAAGAAAAAAGTTTTGTATGATAAACAACAGTACGCCATAGACCAGAAATGTGTGGATACATATAGTATTGTAATTTCTTGTAAAATGAAGTTACATTTATTTTGGAATATAGTGCATAAGAATATGTATTGTAAGAACAGTAATAATATTGCTCTTATAATTATTGTTCATACAATAATTGTTTATTATAATTGAGGAACTACTGCAAGGACAGTTTGAAGTCCTTTATTAATGCTGTCAGAACTCAGAATCTTGTGACTCACTGGACTCTCTTTCATTGGTTTGAATAGTAAGATACTTTTTTTTTATATGTAAAATCATGTGAATGACACTCCCTACCAAAACTTTTCTGCTGAAGAGTGGTTACAGTGGGCAGTACAGCATCCACATTAAACTTGTGTTATTATCGAACTCTAAGTCAAGCACAGAGTAGGAAGTAATCAAGTTATACTGGAGTGAGTTAAAAACTTGTTAATGTGCAGTGTATATAGTTGTTAAGGAAGATAAAATAATATTTCATTTGTACAACCCATCAGATTATTCTTGGAAATTTGAAATTTCTTTTTATATACAGCACTGCTGTACTGCATTTGTATATTCCCAACTTTGAGAGATTTGAAAATTGGTGTGTTCCTGACTGTTTAAGACAGCAATGACATAGGTGATATTCAAAATTGGTGCTTATGCTCTGTCCCTCTGTGTCATGTTATTTGATGCAATAAATCTTACTGGATCTTTACTTCAAAGAAAGTATTTGAACTTTTTATTCTCATAATTTGCGCAATGTTATTCCAGATATTCACAATTTTTATTTATTAATAAATGTTTTCTTATATTCGCCCCTGTTATTTGTGTTTCCCCAGATAATGCATTTTGAAAATCTGTAATGATCTGTGCACTGTTTTTTGTCTCTCAGACTCTCCCTGGATTTTGCACCGGCAAAGCATTTCCGTTGAAGTCACTCAATGAAAGCCACCAATGGCTGGATGAGATACTGGCGTTCCATGGCGTGGAAGAGCTAGCCCTGAATGGAGCGGCGTTGAGTGCACGTTGTACCATAATGTCGTGTCACAGGTTGTTGATGGATAAGTTCGCAATGCCTGTTGTAGTTCTGGTGTGAAACATTTGCTTCTGTCCGCAGATGAACATTCTAGGAGTATTTCAATTGCTGTCCCCTTTCTTGTGAGGTGTGTCCAGCTGTACATTACAACTTGACACGATTCGGAAACTGTTATCAGCCATTTCTTCCAGTCATAACAATTTTCTTATTTCAGGTTGGAATGGAGACTGACCATTACGCGCTCAAGTGGGCGGATTTGCCCGTAGAATCATTTGCTGCATTCCGTTTGTTGCGAGATCGTGGATTGTTCGTTGACGTTGCTCTTTCTGTGAATGGCGAAGTGTTCAAGGCGCATAAAATTGTTCTCGTTGCGTGCAGCCCTTACTTTGAGCGTGTATTGGTGCCATTGGAAACTGGGGTTGGAGGATGTGACCAAAACTCAAGATATCCTGTGTTCGTTATGAACGATGAGGACCCTGTAATTTTCCGTCAAATTCTTGATTTCATCTATCGTGGTGAAACCGAAGTTCCTAGTTCGAAGCTTTCCGAGTTCCTGCGTATGGCGGAAATGCTGGAAGTCAAAGGTCTGAAACAAGGGGCGCAGAATTCAAGCATGAGTGTGGCTGCTTCCGTAAATTTGACTGGAAATGATTGTCGTCAGTGCCAAAAACCGAGCAATTTCTCAAGTAACTCTGGGCTTAAAATGGAATGGGATGAACGTCTTGCTGGCACGTCTTCTTGCAAGGTGAATGATATTTGCATGCGTCAAAAGTTTTCAAATCTTTAAAACTTATCTTTCTGCAGTCTGAAGAAAGCTGGGAAGTGTACCAAGGACCGAGTGGAGAGACAAGTGTACAAGGGCAATACTCACCATCGCAAAATCCTCCAGCTTCGTTCGGGCAAGGAAATTGGAAGCTAAAATTGGAGGTTGATCAGCGGTCTCATCCGTATGCTCCACCTTCTCAGCCTTCTGGTGGAGCTCAGTGGACCAGTGACCCTTCGAAACCCACCAATATCCCGTCTGACGTTTCTACTTCTGTTAGTACATGCTTCCTTATTTCTCATGTCAGCCTGTATGCCATCAGAGTGTTCGGAAATTTTTTTTCCCCCCACATTTTCGGAGAAAGAAAGAAATCTTTCAAGAATTTCCCAATTGGTTTTTTCCATGAAGGAAATCCGAGGTGAGCTACTACTGCGTTGTCGTTATCAGTTTGTGTGAACTGTTGAGGCTGTGCTGACTCATTTGCCTCGTTCTCCAGGGTAGATGAATGACGCAAATAAATTGGTTTGTTCTTCGCTTGTTCGGGAAGAAGTTGTGTGCTTCAAGAGTGTAAGTTATCGGTTTTGGAATCTTCAGTATGTGCGCTACGAAATGTAGGTCCGATAGAGTCAATTGTACAATATTGGAAAAGTATTCGTCGGTTCTTTGAACTTCTTGTGGCTTTTCAATATAACCGTTTCTTTCTGCTTACAGGCACCGATCGAACGAATTAATGAAGTCATTTGGAAAGGAACGAGAACCGAAGTTCCCCCCGATGCACAGGGCTCAAGCGGGGGTTCAGGTGTGCAGAACGTCTTCTTCTGTTCCAGATGTTCATATCGCAGCCTGATCAAGCACCATGCACTGGTTCATTCGAGGTATTTGTTTTGCCTTCACATTTTCGGTTCTGGCCGAATACTTCCAGGATGTTCCTTAAATTGCTGATGCAGTGCTTATAGCCTAATTTTCGCGCATTAATTCTCGTGCCTACGATATCGCCCTTCCTACACAATCGTCGATATTAGCGTTTTCCCGTTATTTTTCATTTTGCTCTTCTCCTAATATCCCCGAAACCCGATCGAGACCTCTGTGGATGCTCATCTTTGTTATTTCTATTGCAGGAAACACACCGGCGAAAAACCATACCAATGTGAAATATGCTTCAAGAACTTCTCGCAGCTTGGGCATTTGGCGCAGCATGCAAGGATTCATACCGGCGAGCGCCCGTTTGCCTGCGACGTGTGCGGAAAAGCCTTCACCCAACTGTCGAATCTAAAGCAGCACAAGAAAATTCACATGCGGAATTTGACAATGTCGGACCAAATCGGCGCCAGTGCAAGTGCAGATTCACCTACCCGCGCGTCTCAACCGCCGGATGAAAGTGTCGCCGGTCCCAGCTCCCAAGACCCTCAAACGACGGCAACTGCTACACATGTGTCTCAGCACGGCACTCACTTGACAATGCTTGCCTGACCGTTGTGACAAGGGGGGTTCAGATCCAAGTGCCTTTCTGGCAAGGACCCATTCAGTCCAAGTAGCTCTGTTTTCGGAGAGGGGTACGTGTTGACCTTGCGTGAAGGACAATCATTACTACTTTCATGCAAAATTCCCGCCCCTTCGTCTGATTTTGAAATTCTTCCAAGCGCGTAATTGTTTTGATTTCCATTATTGTAGACAATACCAGTTCTTGTAGATCCGTTGAGGGAAGTCCTCAGTACTGTAGTTGGATTCGTAAATAACCTTATTAATTGAAGGGAGACGTATTGGAAACGGTGTTAAAGTGGCCATCGTTCAAATTTTTTTCGTGCTCGATGGATTATTGATTTATTCCTACCTCTCCGAGATGTATATTTTTTTATTACAGTTATGGATTTTTTTATTTTGCTGATGTCGAATACTAATCTCAGCCGATTCAATTTATATTTTTCAATGTTTGCCCTCCTAGATGTTGCGTTCATATACACGTTGACGCTTGCTCTTGAGATTCTCAGGGAAGAACAAGATGTAGTAATGCATTTGCTGAAAATCGAAGCCGTGAATGTGGATAATTGCATCAACTTTTATTTTTTGTGCCTCTGGAGACTGCGAAGTAAGTTAGTGAGCATTCGCGTTAAAGTGGATGCTGGCTCCTTTGTTTATTTTTCTTAATTTCCTTGAAAAGCCTGGGATCGAAACTGATACCTAAGTGAGTCGATCCCGTTGAGCAATGCGGCCGATGCTGTGGTGGTTGCAATATTTTGACTGGATTGATCCTCCTATTGGATTGTCTTGGACGTTCAACTTTCGCGAGTCGTGCTGAATCTCTCGGGGAGGGAACAATTTGTGTGAATGCAATATATTTTTGTGCTTTTCGTCTACCCTGAGAGATTGAGCTTGTATTCGAGAGCTTTTTGTTGTTACCTGAGTAATGCAGAAATTTACAAACTGATCACTGATGTGGCCACTGTCCCGTAACGATAACCGAACAAACAAACTAACGCTTGCTGTGGTTTCGTGGAAGTGAATTATTTTTCTGTGCTCATCCTTGTACCTCTGCAGAAACTCAATCCCTCTTAGGCAACTGCTTTTTGCGCTGCGATGTGTTCATTTGGCTTATTTTACGGCTCCTTGACTTCACGAATGGTCGGACTCGGAAGTACAATCCCCTTCTTTTTTGTTTGTTTCGTCGGTCAACGTGTAATTTTATATTCTTTGTATAAGCTTGGAACCAGCATTTGATGATACTGAATGTAGATCACCATTGAACATAAATTTTGCAAAGCAAAGGAAAAGAGTGCTTGAGTTTGAATCTCGTTTGCCGTATTGCGAGTTTTGAGAACAATCTTCGGATTGGGGGGTAAATAAAGATACTTTTCTTTTGTTTGCTGGACTCATTTTTGACTGTCTGTCACCTGTGGAATCAGATTGGTTCTTCAGTCATTTTTCTTCTCAACCAGTTGTTCACCCATTAACTGCCCAATTTCCTGTACACTCATTTTTGCATGATTTCCCTTCATTTACATGTAAATAGGCTGGGACAATTTTTAAAAATTTTTAAATTCAAAATTTGGCCAAATATTTAAATTTCAAGTTTAATCCCCAAATGGGGCTAATGGCAGATCCCATCTTCCTTTTTACTACTAAGTAAAATCTTTCATAAATTGGAAAAAATAATTTTGTATTTATTTGGCTAAATTGTATTATTTTAACCTAAATTATGTGATTTTCCAAATAATTTCAAAGTTTTTTTTTGTAAAAGCTACAATAAAACTTGTTGAACAGCATACAGGCTGTAGACCAAGTAATTTGCTAGCATTTTTCAACCATTGGATGAAGTTTGAAAGCTCAGGGGTATCTTTGAAAAATTATCACAAAAATTGTATTTATTACAATTATGGAAAAAATTGATTTAAAGTCACAGAGATTTTGTTTAACATGTATTTATCATCACTTTTGTGTGCTCAGCCCTGCAGTGAGGTTTATTCAAGATATGGAACTTTTTGGACTCTTTTTCAAGAAAATTCGAAAATTATTTTTTTACACCCCAACTGCCATGAGCCACATTTGGGGATCAAGGTTCTTGAACTTGTAATCGATAAAAATTTCAGAAAATAAAAAATAAGCCAAAGCATTGAAAACTAACCAGGCTACAAGGACATAACAAATTTTGACTTTAGTTGCTCTAAAAATTACTTTTCTTGCATTCCAAAAATCCTGCTTTAACTTTCCAACAGAATTTGCAAGTTTCCTTCAGAAAACATGTTGCTGTAAATTGAAAAATGGATGAAAAAAGGCAAATGAGGTCTTGAATTGTAGATAACTTAATTGCTAAGCTTTTGCATATTTTTACATAATTTTTGTTTTGAAGGTATTTTTTGGTGGGTCAAAATGCTCTTGAGTCCCAAATGAGGCTCATGGCAGGTAATTGGTTAATTAATGCCTTTACTGATCCTTTCTTCTTGGTGCATTGAAGGATACATGTGGCCTTTTCATGCAAATGGATGACCTCAAGGACTTGATGTGCAGGATATGCATATACTGCCAGACAATCTTGATGAAATTCCATGTCAAGAAAGGGTCTGAGAAAAAGAAGAACTGGAAGGTATACATGCATACATTTTCCACATTATCATGTAATACAGTGCATTCATGTATGGCTTTTCCCTTGTTTGTGTTTTGGTTCCTGATGGACATTGAATATTTTACAATGCTCAGGAGCAGGTCATTTATCCTGCAGACTCATCAGCTGCTCTGAACACAACTCAGATGGTAACTTCAAATTGTACTTCAAAAGCAAACAAATTCATATTGTTTTGCAAAGACATAACATTTATAATGTTTTACTCACCAAAGGAGGTCAAATGGCGTGTGCAAGTGGAGGACAAAAATTTTTACTTTCTGTACACAGTATTATTCTCACACTTCCTTTTAAAATTTCAGCCCCAGCATTCTTTCCAAAACTATAATGAAGTGCTTGATGTGAGATGAGGCTGCAGATTTCTTGGAGTCAAATAAAGAACAGTCATCCATGGCCCTAGAAGAAGGTGATAGAAATTGCTACAAGTGATGAGAAGTTCTTTGATCCAGATGGTAAGCAAGTGCTGTCAGATTTCAAGAAATGGGTGAGTCACATTATATTATTACATTACTCGGTACAGATTACAGTTCATGATCTTAAGTAATTCTGAATGTAAATGGAAGAGAACATGTACAGAATGACTCAGTCATTCTTAACCTCTATTTGTGAAATCTTTAACAACTCAAAAACTGTAGCAACCAATGCACGGCTCTGTATGTTCACAAACAAGATGCAAAATTCATTATCAGATCAAAACCATGAACATTCAACAACAACAGCAACAAATCTCACACTAGTTGAGCTCACTCAAACTCATCATTGGGCAAAGATTTTCAAAAAAATAATACATAGTAGGAGATCTGCACTCCACCAAGTTTTGGACAAGACTGAGAATATCCCTTCCCATCTATGACTGCCAAATTTGTATTAAAACAAATGGCACAGACTTTCTCTGTCCTTTGCGAATTCAAGCAATGGAAATCCTTCAACAGAAAAATCCCATTCAGAGAGGCCTCCTCACATTCCATTCCCACACGCAATACAAGGACGCACAATTGGATATGCCATATCAAAATTGTGCAGACTGGCACTACAAATAACTTGCACTAATTGCGCATAATTGAACCAGCATTGCACAGATGGCATATTGCAATTTTCCGTAGTTTCCAAACCATAAATATTAACAAGAGATTTCTTGATACACAAATCTTTCCATGAATCCAAATTTATATTTCTCACAACTGACCTTTGTAAAAGGAACACTCTAGTACAAATAAATAGATACAATTTTGACCAAAGAAATTGTTAATATCAGATCATTTCCCCATAGATACAATTTTGATTTTAATACAACAAATTTTGCGTGAGTCATGTGGAGGGTGCCAGCATCACTGGTAATTCTTGGCAAGCTACATATCCAGGGCTAGATCTGGCAACAATTGTGGGATCCCTATTCCACTCAGGGCATCCTACCATGAGCACAAGATCTCATGCCTCTTTTCAGAGAAGTCAGACCTTTTGCCTAGCCACCCTGGAAAGCTAGAGACAGGGACTGTGACACTTTACAGTGAGCACAGGGCTTATCTCCAACTTCTTTGCAAGAACACAAAGAGAGAGGCCAGCCCACACCTAGAAGACTCAATTTCTTACACTCCCTCCAAAGACGGGAGAGGGCATTGGGGATCAACTGGCTTCCAAGGATCCCAGTCAAGAAATGAGGATTTGGTAAAGGAAATACAATTTACTCCCCTTTGTACTATTCTTTCCAAAGTTCCTACAGAGACTTTCCTAACCACCCCATCTCTTGAAGGATGTATACTTCCACCACCTTTCCAGGGACCCAAGAACTGATGAAAGCACTACTGCCTTTTTCATCCACCAACACTTTATCCTCAATTTTTAATTGGGTCAACGTTTTTTACCCATGCTCCTTTCAACATTGAGCATTAACAGGTAGGTTCTTCTCCATTTTTTCCAAAACTGTTTGACAGTATCAGCCACAAATTGTATCATTTTCAAACTGGATCCAGCTAGCTTGTCTGGCTTTTGCACAGCTGCTGCAGGTCTCAGTAACATGGCCGCTGGGCACAATGGGACACCTTCATCATCAATTGCAAGTGGTCTCTTGTTCAGAATCACCTCTGCCTTTATCAGGCAAGTCTCAAAGACGTCAGCAGACCATTGAGGACCTTGCATACTCCCAACGAAACATTTTTTTTTCTTGTACCATCCTTTCCCACAATCCTCCCCAGTGAGGAGTTCCAGGTGGATTTGTTTGGAATTCAGTTCTCCATTCAGGGGCACAGCTCTCTTGTATTTTTTCCCATTCTTTAGCTCCACTTATGAATGAAGTTCTGCAATGACTCCAAATCAGCTTTGGAGTGCCTCTTCTGTCTACAAATCGGGACAAAGCCAACATAAATGTTTCTGTGCTAAGTCCAGTGCATACTTCCAGGTGAATCGCCCTAGTAGTCATGCACATAAACAGTAATCCCCATGATTTCTGCCCACCTTTCCCATTGTAAGGACCAAGATGATCCATTCCACAATGAAAAAATGGAGCAGCTTCTTCAGCCAATCTATTTTCATGCAAAAGAGCAGTTACAGTCTTGACTGCTATGGGGTTACGGTTGCGGCAAAAGAAACAATGGAACAATTCCTTCCCAACTGTCCTTGCCATGCAACAAATTAAAAATCTTTCTCTCAGAATGGACAAGGTAATTTTTGCCTCTGCATGATCATTTTTGACATGGGCGTCCCTTATCAGCAGCCTGGTTATGGGCACCAACTTGGGGAAGGATCATTGGGTGCTGATCATCTGCAGTCAGCCCTACTGTGTTACCCAGTCTTCCTTCACTGCAAAGGATTCCTTCAGGATCCATACACACAATCCACATCAATAGGGGCCCACCTTTTTGGCAGGCATTTTCCTTCCTTTTCAACCTTTTCAATTTCATTTTTGAAGTAATGTTTTTGAGCAATTTTTATCAACTCCAGTTCTTTCTGTCACAGTTTATCCAAGTCTTTTCTTTCTTCTGCAGACAGTACTTCAAAAATTTGTTTCATATCCCAAAAGGGATCTTCCATTTCAATCATTACAAAAACGGCTTTGATCTCCTTTGTTTTCATCTCTTCTGTACCTTTTCCCAATTCTTTGGGTGGCACTGGCCATCTTTCTTCATTCGTCAATTTCAAAAATTCAGGCCCATTGAGCCAAAATTTGTGGTTCTTCTTGAATTCATCTGCACCCATTCCTCTGCTGATCAAATCAGCTGGGTTCTTTTTTGTAGGTACATCTCATACCTCCACAGGAGGCTGATCCTTTTGGGATCCCTCCATGAATTCTTGGATTTTGCCAACTTGATTTGCTTCAAAGGTGACATACTTCAAAGCCAAATTGTTCAGCCACCCCAACACAACCATCAAATTGGTCCAAAGAATAATGCAAGATATGTTTATTTCTCCCTTGTATTCTTGAAGTATGGCTTCTGCCATTCTTTTCCCGAATAAGCAACGTTGCAACTCCAACCTTGGATTGAGGTAGGTTTTGTAGGTGCTACTCAGGACCTGGCAAACAAAAAACACATTTGATTGCCTTGCTTAAAGTATGCAACAGTGCTGTACCCTTTTGTCAAGGCATTGGAAAATACATGAAGTTCCATTGGAGCATTGCCATTTAACCCCAACCATCTATGAATTTGCCACTCCTTAGCTCTCAGGACATCTGCTATCCATTTTTCCCTGATACCCCTAATTTCTTGGCTCACTTGATCCTTCAAGTTTTTTGATTAGACCAATATTTTTGGCATGATTAGTTTTCCTGCAAATTTGTAAGGTCCAAGGAAACCAATTGGGTCAAGCAGGGAGGCCAGTAGTGACAAGAATTCAGCAACAGTTAAGTCTCCTATCTCTTTCAGCTTGCCATCCTCTGTGATCCTCTTTCTACAAGAGAATCTGAATTGGTCTTCCTTAGGATCCCAGCATAAGCCAAGAGCCTTGGAGACCTTACTTTCTCCTTCCCCAGTCCTCATCTCCACTGCCTCTTTTTCTTTTCTTTCTGCAGGGATATTTTTCAAGAATTTAGGGTAATTTGAAATTTGGAATACAAAATCTAGGTTGGCTGAAGGATTCCTTGAATTGAATAGTGCCATTCAATAGTGGAATACACAATTTTCAAACTCCTTGAAATGTAAAAATCCCACAAGCTGGACTTTGATGGAAGCACTACAACAAGAAGAGTTGAAGCAAGAAAAGATTCATTTGGATTGCCTTGAGAGGAAACCTGTGCATGGCAAAAAATAAAAATAAAAACGCAAATGCAGCAATTAAATCTATTGTTAAGGAGATTGAAAGTCGATCATTGAGCTCATACCTTGTTGGATTAACTTTTAATATGGATCTGAATAAATAATTTCACAGTTAAAGTTCCACACCATGGGCATCCAACCTCCACTGCATGCTGAAACTTCTCTTCGCATGTAGCCATGCAGCAGAAGCTCCTTTTTCCCATATCCTGTGTTACATTTGCCATTGTGAATATGAAGTGCATTATTCCTTGTGCAAATCTATACTATGTTCTGCTTCTAGTCTATTAGTTCAAGTTTTTTTAATTGCAGATGATGATGAAGTATTTGTATGTATATATGTATATAGGAGGATGATTGAAGGAATGTACATGGCATTGTTGATAATTCAGTAAATTTGTTTTATTTCAATTGTATTCTTCATGTGTGCAGTTATAAAATTGCATGGTAGCATGATTGAGTGAAGTATCTGATAATGTATACACTGTACCTGCATCATCTTATAAACAAAAAATACATTGCAATAATACACAACACATAATTCAAAGACCTTCTCACTTTTCATTGCACACACCTTCATGAGCAACAAATTACCTCAGCAGTTAGTACACCATCTAAATGGCAGCACACCCTTCAAACTCTGAAAAATTAAGAAAAATGGTGGGCCACCAAATGCTGCATTTTGTATATACTTTGAAGTACAAATTAGGCAAGTATAGAAGTAATTCTGAGATTTATATTCTATGCATCACAAATGTCTAGGAAGCATTAGGGATCAAGCATAGAAGTAATTTCATAATTTATATTTCATGTCTCAAAAATGTTTATGAAGCATAAGGATGTATAGATGCAATTTTTGAATAAATATTCCATGCTTCCTATAATGTTTAATCATGCATTCATATTTATTACTATAGGATTGTGCCTTTGGAGTGGTGTCACATTCAAGGAATTACTTCTCAGATAAAAATACAGTGGTACCTTGCAGAACGAACTCCTTGCAAAACAAAATTTCCGCAGAACAAACTTTTTTTTGCCAAAAATCCATTTTTTTCACCCCTGTAGAACGAACAAAATTTGTAGTGCAAACGTTTTTTTTCCCAAAAAATCTGAAAAATTTGGAAATTCAAAATTTTTAAAATATTTCTATAAAGGCTTTAAAAAATGGAAAAATCAGAAAAAATTATACACCATAATTATTTTCAATTGAGAAGATATTTATATTATGTAACATAGAAATTTTTTTTTATCAGCAATCCCAAAAAATTATTTAAAAAAATCCAAATGAATACTGTACCACTTTTTGAGGACTATTTTCTCTACCAGGTTGAAATTCATCAAAGCACTGCATCTAAGGGGGTTTTGCTACAAAAAATTAAGTTTTATTATTAGGTCTCCAGTAAAATTTTTTGAGAGAGTAGATTGCAGGTTTAAAAAATATTTGTTTCAATAAGGCTATGCTCAAAGCAAAAAATTCTTTGAAAATTGATTTAACCCTGCAATTGAAATTATAATCCAGAGGTTTAAAACACAGTCACAGGTTTAAAACATAAATCCACAATGTGGTTCAAATTTTGTCTAAGGGGGTTAAGATGTAAGCTAAAAATTCTTTGAAGATGTGTCAGCTCTGAATATTAACCTCTCAGATGCAATTGAAAAATTTGATGTGGTTATGCTCAAAGCAGACACATTTCAAATAATTTTTGCTTTAATCATAACCCCTTGGGAGCAATGTTTTAAACCATCAATCCACATCTTAATCAGCAGGTCTGAAGCATCAATCCACATTGATTCAAAGAAGGTTATCCTCAAAGCAAAGCTGTAAAGGACATTTTCCTGTGAGGATTGTATAAGTCCACAGAAGAAATTTTTTAAACCAGCAGGTCATGATCTCTAAGAGATCAAAAGGAAAACCTTTGATTTTGAATACTTTTTAGCATAAACTCTTTGGAAGCCATTCTTGACCCTGAAATTCATACTTTCTGAAAAATTGACTTAAAACAACATTTCTGTACATTTTTGGGAAAAATCCAGGTGGAACTCCAATTTCAAGGAAAATTTGCATCTCAATATTTTTATAAAGTGTGAATTGGAGGCTTTAAAAATTATTCTTAGGCAGTTATGATCACAGCAAAAAAATATTTGGAAGTGGGGGTTGCTTTGAGCATAACCCCTTAGATTTTTAAAAAACATTCATTGTTTCTAAGAGGGTTATGCTCAAAGCAACCCCCACTTCCAAATATTTTTTTGCTGTGATCATAACTGCCTAAGAATATTTTTAAAGCCTCCAATTAACACTTCTTAAAATTCTTAAGATGCAAATTGTCCTTAAAATTGGAGTTCTGCCTGCATTTTCCCCAAAAATGTTCAGAAATGTTGTTTTAAGTCAATTTTAGATTTTTAAAAAACATTTATTGTTTCTAAGATGGTTATGCTCAAAGCAACCCCAATTTTTCAAAGATTTTTTTTTGCTGTGATCCTAACTGCTTTAGAATAATTTTAAAGCCTGCAATCCACACTTCCTGAAAATATTGAGATGAAAAATGTCTTTGAAATTGGACTTTCATCTGGTTTTCCCCCAAATTTTCAAAACTGATGTTCAAGTAAATTTTTCAGAAAGTGTGCATTGCAGGGAAAAAGATGGCTTTCAAATGAGCAAAACCCCTTAGATATTTTCAAAATGTATTGTTTCTAAGAGAGTTATGTTCAAAGCAGACACATTTTCAGCAAAATTCTGCTTTGAGCATAACCCCCCTATAGAGGCAATGTTTAAAATTGTGTGCATGGATGATTTAAATCTGTGGATTTTTGTTTACACCTCTTGATCAAAATTTGAATTGCAGGGGCTATGCTCAAAGCAAAATGAATTTTCAAAGAATTTTTGCTGTGAGCAGAGACACCTTGAAACAAAATTTTGAAAAATTCATCTACTCTTCCTAAAATTCTAATTAAAGTCTAATTTTAAAAACATTTTGCAAAACCCCCTTACAAACAATGTTTGAAGAGATTTCAACTTGCAATGCACACATAAAAAGAAAACTGAGTTTAAAGCCAATTTTCAAAAATAATTTTCATCTTAATATTTTTTTAAACAGTTTGGATCATAGGTTTAATTTATCACATGTAGGGTAATGCTCAATGAGTGCTAAAATTGCTTTGGTGAAAACAAAGAGACATTTTTTGAATTTTTTTTGGAGTTTTTTCAAAATTTTTTGAATTTTTCAGAAATTGGGAACAAATTAAATGATTTCCCATTGAAGTCTATGGGAAATCATGATTTGCAGTGCAAACGTTTTGTACTACAAACATAGCTCCAGAACGAATTATGTTTGTATGCAAGGTACCACTGTAATTACAGTATTTTCTGGTCATGTTTGGAAGTCATTTGCACAAATCAGCAGTAGTGATGGAATACCTTTGAATGTGTTCACCACTTTTGGCAACCACTAAACACTTCTCATAAAATAACAAGAATAAAACATTAAGAATGCAGCAAGTTCATGTATTGAATAGTATGTTATCTTCCTACACCATTCTTCAACATGTAATTCCTATCTGCAAGTATAGGCAGTTCATGAAGTCACTCATTCCTGGCATTGAGGGAGGGAGTGGAAGGCAACAGCGCTTTAGGGGGGCAGCGTGGAAGTGAGTGGCGTTGAGTTTGAAAAAGTACTATAACGTTGGTTCAGGACTTGCTTCTGATCCAGCAATGACATTTGTATTGTTAGTGAGGAAATCGCGGATTCATTTGCATCACACAGTGGTTCATTCCTGATCGCATCAAAATCTATTTTTGAGTCAGCTCAAGTGGTAATTCCATAGAACTGGTATGAGCCACATCCATGTAGGTCTTCTTCGAATTGACGCTTAGACGAATGGACTGATAATTTATAATGTGGTGAGATTATGCAGTACAGTATTTGGATTGGTGCCCCTTGTTCACACAGCGTTGGCGCCGTTCTGGATCTGATTGTTCTGGGATTGGTTTATTTCTGAGAAAAGGTTTTTCAACTGAACCCGTTACGATTTCGATTGCCAGGAACCTCTTCTGGGACTGAGTTTTTCTGCATGATCTCCTTTCGCATGGTGCCCTCAAAATTCGGCGGTGTCGTCCGCAGGCACCTGGTACCCTCCAGTGTGACCATGCGTTGTTGGCCACTGTCCATTGTTCCTCGTCGTACAGCCGTCCTGACTCCTGAAGGTGCTTATCATCCTGAGCCGAAAAAAGTCCGTTTTGGTCTCGCCGCGGTGTTCCTCACGGTGATTCCCGGACTTTTCCTTGGAGCTATGATCAGCAAGACCTTGGCCAGTTTCTTGGAAGAACAGGATCTGTTCGTGCCGTCTGACGACGACGACGATGATTAGTGCCTATGGTGCTGCCGAATTTTGCCAGAATCATGATATCTTGACTCTTGGGTGCAATATGCCATGTAAACTTTTTTTTATTATTCGCTCCGGAGCTCTGGAATTGATGCTTGTGAAAGTGTGCTTGTGCATCGTCCCTATTGTGCTCTCTCAAGTACTGTAGTTGATTGCTTGGGAAGTTGTCAGCAGTATAAATCAGCATTGTGTCCAATTCTTGATAATGGTTCCCTGAGAGTGTTCCTATAATGATTGGAGGAACTTTCATGAAGGACGAAAGGATTTTATGATGGCTGAGTGCGCGATGGATGAAAACGGCGCGGAATGTGCAGACCAGCGGTCGGAGTTGGAGAACATAGACTTCTCGTCTGTCAGCTCAAGGGTAAATCTCCTAAAAATTCTGCCACAGAATCTTTTCTTGATACGAGTTCCTTCACATGTATTTAGCTGGCTTGGGTAAGCCCAAACGAGGAAGAGTTCGACCTACTCACCAGAAAGTTGAGGATGCTCATGGAAGAAGGGCGCGGGGAAACTCTGTTTGATCTCGGTGTTGGTATAGGTGAGGATATTTTCTCATGGTATTTTCGTGAATGGAATTGATGCACAGTACCATGATATTTAATCACCTCCTTCCGATTCCTCTGTGTGTGCAGATGACAGTGAGAGTGGTCTAACAGTAGACGAGATGGAGGCTTCCATCGCGACTCTGAAATCGATTGCGTCCACGTTAGATGCTGATTGCGTATTGTTACGCGAGAAAAAGTTGGAGAATGGAATGTGTGTGCAATTTCTTGTACGGCAGAGAGCCTCTGAAGAAGACTTCATGGAGATCCGGTGAGCGCTCCCATTCATATTCTATGAAGCACATGGATCGTACGTGTCATGATACATTTCCAATTTCTTCAGAATTAAGATTGCGGATCTTTTGTTGCAGCGTTGCTGTTGTTGGGAATGTTGACGCCGGGAAGAGTACATTGCTAGGAGTCTTGACTCACGGCGCGCTCGACAATGGTCGTGGACTTGCACGACAGTGTCTTTTCCGTCATAAGCATGAAGCTGAGTCCGGTAGAACATCGTCCGTTGGTAATGATATCTTGGGGTTTGACTCAGAAGGAAACGTTGTCAACAAACCAGAGCATGGTTCATTGGACTGGATCAAAATATGTGCTCGCAGCTCTAAAGTTATCACCTTCATTGATCTCGCTGGACATGAAAAGTATCTCAAGACAACGGTGTTCGGAATGACGGGGCATGCACCTGATTTCGGAATGCTTATGGCAAGTTATTTGTGTGTTTTTTTAAAAATATTTATTGTCTCTGGATGGGCATCTAATCGCAATTTTTGATCAATTTCAGGTTGGTTCCAATGCCGGTGTTATTGGTATGACAAAAGAGCATTTGGGTCTAGCCCTGGCTCTCAATGTGCCGGTGTTCGTTGTTGTGACCAAGATTGACATGTGTCCACCGAATGTGTTGCAAGAGACGCTGCGTTTATTGCAGAAGATATTGAAGTCCGCTGGGTGTCGAAAAGTTCCAGTGATGGTTAAAAATGCTGACGATGTTGTTATGTCAGCAACTAACTTTGTTTCAGAACGGTACGTGGACAAAAATTCCACTGGATCTGAGTTTGAGAATAATAGACCCTGTATTTCTTCTTCAGGTTATGTCCCATTTTCCAAGTCTCAAATGTAACTGGCGAAAATTTGGATCTATTGAAAATGTTTTTGAACTTACTTACAACGCGTATGCCGTCGAATGATTCTGACCCGGCGGAATTCCAGATAGACGACACTTATTCTGTTCCTGGCGTAGGAACTGTGGTATCCGGCACAACATTACGTGGGACTATCCGGTTACACGACGTGATGAAATTGGGGCCTGATCCTCTGGGCCATTTTCATCCTATTGCCATCAAATCTATCCATAGAAAGCGAATGCCTGTGAAAGAAGTTCGAGGTGGACAAACTGCCTCCTTTGCACTGAAGAAGGTTAGATTCACCATTTCCTTCTTGTTGGCTACTTCACTTTTTTTTTTAGCTATTTCTTACTTCTTTGTAACCAGATAGTTGATCAAAAATTGGGGAAAAATTGCCAAAAAATCAAATTGAATGTGTTTCACAAATTAGAAATACATAATGAAGTGCACAGATGAATAAATCCTCACAGAATCTGATCCTCTAGCATCAAAATGACTCCAAAATGGAAAAGCAAGTGCAAGTGCAGTTTAATCTCATTACAACAAACTACTGGGATCCAAGAAAAAATTTGTTACAGCAAAAAATTTGTTATACAGTATTGAGATTAATGATTTTTAGCACATTTCAGACTCAAATTTTTTTGGAAATGGGGAATACATACATAAAATGCTTCTAAAACAAATAATTCCTGTACTTCTGATGAAATGAAGAGAAATCCTTTGATATAAATGCAGTATAACTCTCCTTTAATTGAACTAAGATTTGTAATAAAGTATTGCCTGTCTTCAAAAATAAAAAGAAACAAAATTACACATGGTAAAAATACTGCACTTCCTTCTCAATCAAATTTTTAACCAATAGCTCTTTCAAAACATAGAGGAACATTCTTCTTACATACTGCTTATTTGAAGAAGGCATACATGCTGAAATAGATAAGCCAAAGAATTTCCAAAAATATTTTCTGTGGTGCATTTTTTTGGACATCAAGTTTTCTATGCATAAATATTTTTTTTGTGAATTTTTAATGCTATATCTTATAGTTTTTAAACATTTTCTGCCATTTATTCAGTAATATCTGTATGGGCTATGCACGGAATCATGCCCAAAAATTCGTTATAATGAGATTACAGCCTAAAATTACTATGTTATAACAAAATTTTTATAACATTACGCCTATGGGAAACTGCCAGGACCACCAAATAAATTCGTTATGATGAGATTTGTTGTAATGGAATTCTACTGTAATGCTATCCTGTGCACAGGTGATGGAGACTGCTCCAAAAAATTGCAGAATTGACCTGTTTTGATCATACAGTATGTTTGAGTAAATACTGTGTATAATTCTAGTCGTTTTCAAGTTTTTTGCATTCAAGTAGCTCAATTCATTCAAGAGAAATTTAAATGTTGAAAACTTTTCATTGGTGAGATATTCATCTATTTCATGGATTATTCAAAAATTGATCACAAAAATCTCAAGTGTGTGATTTTCTTTGATTTTTCATCTCCACATTTCTCATGATTTGATCTCCCAATTTTTCTCCGTTTCAGATCAAGAGGAATGAAATCCGGAAAGGTATGGTTATTGTTTCGCCAAAGCTGAATCCTGTGGCGTGCTGGGAGTTTGAGGGTGACATCCTAGTATTGCACCATCCAACAACCATATCCACACGTTATCAGGCAATGGTACATTGTGGCAGTGTTCGACAGACTGCATCTATTCTCAAGATGTCCAGCGACTGTCTGCGTACCGGCGACAAAGCCTCCGTTCACTTCAGATTCATCAAGCACCCTGAATATTTGAAGCCTGGTCAGAAACTGGTTTTCCGCGAGGGGCGGACGAAAGCTGTTGGATCTGTGACCAAGATTTGTCCTCACGCACCTGCGTCTCAGCCAACAACACGCACAAAGCCCAACAAGATGGTGAAGCAAGCAGCTCAAGCAGTGAGTGCCAGAGCAAACCTGTGTTGACAATGTTTGATGTGTGTGAGAGAAATGAGTCCCAGTGTGCGTGACGCCCTGCATGGAAAATTTGTTTCCCTTCGAGTTTTAAATATCAGGCGGTCAAAAGGGGCAAGATAGATTGTTTCATGATTGTTATATCACCCTGACATATGATCAACTGTAGGACATACATTAAATGCCATTAACATGAACAGTTTTGTAATTTGCCGGAATTGGCACCAAGATCCCATCTACGGAAAAGCTCAATGAATGGAAATTTAAATGTAAATGTAGCTGAGAATACTTTCCTAATTTCCCTTTCTAAAGTGCACAAAACCAGGTGAAACCAAGCCGCCATAGTAATTCCAGGAATCTAAGACGTAATTTTTACTGATTTTTTTTTTAAACTGATGTTCAAAGACAGTCAAATCTTGTTTGAAGAAATACCTTTACAAGAAAATGTTTAGTATATCATAATTTTTTCAAGTCAAAGCAGAAATCCTGAACAGTACTGTACTTGTTACAAAAATCTTGTTACAACAAACTCTCCAATTACTGCACAAAATTTTGAATTCAAGAAATTTCTCTCTGGGTGGCATTTTTCCTGCATTCTTGGCACAGGATTTGCGTGAGAAATTCCTGAAAACAATAGTAAAGTTTTCTCCAGGATTTTTCCCAACTCAGGCCTTCTCAAACAGGGGCATTTCAGCGACCTTGGGTCAAACTGAAATGAGCAACCCCCTGGAAAAATCCCAACTCATCTGTGCAGTGTGCACTGAAAAAGAACTCTCTGCCATCCAAGGGCTAATCTGTATGGAAATTGCCTGGAAAAAACTTTACATCCACACAAAGTTCTAGTGTTTTACTACCTGTTACTCAGAGCAGATGTTTGTTACTGATACTTGAATATCTGTTTGAAGATCATGGTTTTTCAAGCGCATGAGAATTTCTGAAAAGGCCACAAAAAGATGAAAATATGGAAGTGTAATGTAGAACAATCTTTTCTGTCAAGAATTTTGAGAATCTTGATCTAACACATTTGTATTTGTTAGTTGTTACAACAAACTTCTTCTGAAGTTCCCACAAGATTGCTGTAATGAAATTTACTGTCTCTTAAACCAACAGTTGATTATTTCTGCAATATGAATGCCACTGATGGAAATAGTTTTGTTACTAAAATAATTGAAGGACCTTATCTGGTGAAAATATGGACAAATGGAAATCAAGATGTAGATTTTGCGGAGGATATTCATTTTATTTGAAATGCCTGCAAATCGCATGGGAATCAAGAAGTCTAGGACTCCTATTACCTCATAAATCAAGAACTTTGGCTGCATTTTGAATCAATGAGACTTCCTCATAAATTTTTGAACCATAATTTTTGGAAACCTGTTGATACAATTTTATGTGATTTATTTTAGGTGGCAAATGAAGGAATTCAACCACTGGATTCCACAGTGATTTTAGCAGGAGCAACTTCAGAGACTGGACAGGTGAAACGTTCCCGACGAGGTGGAAATCGTTGGCAATCAAACAAGCCAAAGGATGGAACTCCTCCAGCCACAGCTCCAGCGCCTGTGAAACAACCACTTGCTGACCAGAATGCTGGTTGAGGTGCTTTCTGATAAAATTAAAAAGAGGAAATTGCTGTTTTTCATTCTGTGTGAATGGGAAAGGTGTGTTTGCGTTCCTGCAAGTGTGTGTCAGCTTTAAAATAAAAATGGAGGGGAAACTGTTTTAAGATGTTCACATTGACATGAAATCTTCATGAGTGTGCTCCCAGCGTGAAGCCTTTGCTTTCTGTCCTGGTCTATTATTATTATTATTTAAAAGTTGCTATATTTTTTCCAGATTTGTATGTCGACTGACTGGTTCCCGAAGCTCATTGCTTTATAGATAATTAGAAACTGTTTTGTTGGGAATGAGTTGCATTTATTTGACTCTCATGCATCTGCCTCCCTTCAGTTTGCCAAAAACGCTTGTTACAGGATTATCTTTATGAAGGTACTGAATTTTGATTTTGGATTGACTTTCCTGGTTGTGTGGGATGGTAACTGTGTAGGGCAATGGCGCGTCTTGTGAATCCTATATCTTGTGATGGGACTTGGAGAGCAGAAAAATAGAAATGAGTTGGTTACACTGAAGAGTGAATTTATTTCAACAATTGGGTTCCTCTTTTTTGCCATGAACATGGAGGCTCTGTGTATCCCTGTTTCAATCTGAATTTGTCCTTACTGCAAACTCAAAATATGTGCAAGCACCCAATGACCTTTCATTCCTTGCTTTTAGGGGACTTGAACTGTCTGGATCAAGCATGTTGAAATGGGGAAAATGAATAAATTCAGTGTTCTTTTCAAGATAAAATTGTTTGAGGATTGTTATTTGGGTTAGTTAAATTATTTTAATTTAAACATGAGTTTGGGTTAATTTGGTTAGATTACATTAGTAGAGGTTAATTTAGGTTAGGCTTGATATGTTCACTATTTTTCTGCAAATTTTTTGCAGTTACCATATCATGGAAAAAAAATCCATAAATGCAATTTTGATGTCCCCAAATAACAAGGGATGAAAGTTTGAAATAACCAGTTCTATGGGAGCATGCTGGAAGAAGGAATTCTTGCTGGGAATTGGATACCTGGATCTTGCTACCTGCTCAAAAATAAAGCTCTGCCATATGTTGAGGTGGAAGATGTGAGTCCTCCCATGGATCCATGACAGCCCGGAACCATTTTGACCACTGGCAAGTGGCTGCTGCTCTTTCTCAGAATAATTTACCAGCAGGTGCAGTACAGATCACACAACCAATACACTAAGTAAAAAACTTGTGTTGACCTGTTTCAAAAAAACCATTGGACACAACTTTTTGGTGACAGAATCAATTCGCCAATACAAATGAAATGAAAAAAAGGTTGAAAAACACATACCCACAAAGAACAGGAGATCTGCTCACACAAACAATGGAAGTGATATACTCTTGGAGCATGCATTATAGGTTGCATGACCATATATGACAGTATATACAGAGGAGTTTGTGACTGTCACAGAGTACTTTTCATGTGAGAAATGAAAATCACAATTGAAACAATATAACTTTAATAGAAAATATGAGCATATGGAGCATGTATAAACAAAGCTGACAGGCTGTTGAAACATTGTGGCACATGTTCTTTTTACAAAGCAGCCCCATAGAAGAATGCTGTGCAGCGCTCTATATACTGAGGACGCTGAGGTGCACATGCATATTGAACAAAGCAGACAGGCTTTTGAAACAGTTTGGCTCTCTTTTTGGCATGGCATTCATTCAATAGCAGCGCAGCTTAAAAAATGTATGTTGTTTTGGATCCAAATGCAGTTGGTCAAATAACAATAAACTCAGGCCATGACCTACATTGCTCAATATTATATTTTACCAATCTATTAATTAATGTATTTATTCATCTACAGGCAAACCTCTCTAAGTTGAATTTCAAGGGACCTGCAAAAAATTTGACTTAGGGAGGTTTTGAATTACATAGGTTTGAACTAAAATACAAAGCACTTCTTCAGATAAACCTTGAAAAAATGTGAATGGTGATGTTCTGGGGCTTAAATGGCTTCTTGAATGAGTTGAAAGGCTGCTGGAATTGGAAGCAGAGGTTCATTATTTTCCCAATTGAGTCATTCACTTCCTTCAAAACACACAAATCTCTGTTTTATTACTTTTTTTTTCTTTCTGGGGTCAAGATAATAATGGCCAGCAGGCCACAGAAAATTTGACTTATGGAGGTTTGAGGGAAAAAGTTTTTGGTGCCAGTAAAATGGTGCTCCTTCAAAAAATCTTTGCCCTGATTCCTTCCTGAAGGCTGAATAATACCCATATCACAAAACCCATGAGAAACGGGTGTGAGATGGGTACAGTAAAGCAGTGACACACAGCCAAAGGTTACCCACATCCAACTTTTGTTTACCCATCTCCAGGCAACCATGGATATGGGCTGGACACCAGTGCTTTCATGCCTCTTTTTCACACCAGCAAGTAACACTGGTGATTATTTGCTGGGTTAGTGCAGAAGGGTATCATAAATGACGATGGGCAATGTCTTCAGAGACTTCTGAATTTTGGCTTTGAGACATGTTTCCATAATTGTTTCAGACTTCTTCATTTGTGTTGTATATGGATTAGCTCTTATGCTTCTCTCTCCTCATCTGTTTAGGATTTGCCATTGAAAATTGTTGCTGGGAAAGTTAAAAATTTTTCAAAAGATTTGAAGCATGAAAATGGTTTCTGGGGCAGAAGTGGGAAGTTTTAAGATTAGCAAAAAATTGACTGCATTTTAGCCAAGAGAAAAACAGAGGAATTTTGTTTGTGCCCAGGATTCAGCTATTCTTTCAAATGGCTATTGAATTTGGGAATGTTTTACATGAGGACAGAAAAAGATACAGGCATATAATTTAAAAATCTCATCTTGGTAAACACTGTAAAAAAAAAGCAGATTTGAGACCCTTTAACTGGCAGGTTCTCAATTGTTTAAGGCACTTGAAAGGTATATAAATCATATTTAAGTGGCTATTTTTTGACATGACTGATTGCCCCAAAAATGTTTGAAAATCTGGAGCTCTTGGTTATACTGTATCTGCATTCCTTGTACAAATTCTAATTTTCCCTGTGCCTCCATTATTGAGTTTGAATGTAAGAAAATTGCTGATATCAATGATAACTGTTCATGGGAAGTGGAAAAAGACAATTTCTAACCAAAGCTTTATTCAAACAGCACTTCCAAGGAATTGTGGCAGACTTTTCTTCAATGACTTCAATGAAAGTCCAAATTGTGTCATTGGGTGACTGCAATCTTTTACATTGTCATATGATCATTCCTGTTATATTTTCTATAGTTGCATTCATTGTGGAAAAATTGTCACCATGCTTTAACGTCCCATGATAAACTTTGCATACATTTGGTGACATCAGCATTGTGGTCTGTACAAGGCCTTCTGTGAAATTTTCTTTCTGCGGTATTCAAAATTATTTTCCGCCAAAGTAAACGCCGCTTTAAGAATCACAACCGAATTGACTTTCCTCTGAATGCGGTGGAATGAACCACAGGGTAAGACAGTAAGAGCTCACAGCCGAAAAGCCACCGCGCAGAACTTCTGCCCGCAGATGTGGACCACTCCCCGGACACCATGGAGTACGCTGCGACTGGGGGAGTATGCCCTGCCTCCTACACCTCCACTGGGTTATACTGGTCTCATTCCCCTTCCTGTATAGGATGGGAGGGAAGGACAGACAGGGGAGACACACAGCCAGGTGCTAGCTGGAAGGGAGAGACACCGTGATGTCTTCCATCCTGGCTGCCCAAAACGACATACAATGCTCCCTCCGTCATGAGTTTCATATTGATTTTGTTTCAAGGATATTCATTTTCTTTTGAAGGGGAAAACTTCACAATAGCTTCACATGGCTATTATTCACGTATGATGAGATGGAGAAACATGTTGTTGTTCGCCCCATCACAGACCATGGTGAGCTGAGAAAGCCGCAGAGGCGATTTTTCCGATGAGTTCAGTGGCTGCCACCCGATGGACTGAAATGGCATTGACCAGCCGAGTTAACAATGAAAGTCAGTTTGGGGTGCTTCGGTGCGCACGAGTTGGAGTTGGATTAGGCTGGCATCCCTTGGGCATCCTGGATACCCACCAAGCACCGAGAAGCCATTCAAGTGATACTCGGATAATTTTCCAGTGTGCCTGTGATTTTTGTGGACAGTTGCATTGCCCTGAAGTTGTTTCCCTACCTGTGTTAGTCCCTCATGCAATTTTGATTTGAACAAGGAAGAAGTGCTGAGTAACCCACGTGTTGTACAGGCATGAAAAAATAAGAGTGGATTTACTGTAAATAATATTAACCCTGCTGGGATATGTTTCTTAATTGGGAATAACAATGTGAAAAATTACCTGTGCCTGCATGCACATATATTTTTATTCCAGTGCAGCATTTACGAAATGAACTCGGATTTGTTGAGTCAAAGGAAGAAGAACTTCCACATTAAGATAGTGCTCATTTGTTGTTGAAGTAATCCCACAGAAGTGATGTTATTAATCATATTCTTGTAAGTGCCATTGCATCACAATGCATGAAAAACAATGGGGGTGTTGCATTCATATTTTATTCTAGGTTTATCTATAGTCCATTTGTATATATCATGTTTTGGTTGTCTCATACTCTCATACACTGAAGTGTTTTCCATGGGCCTTGAAGTTTGTTGGAAACGCTGCTGCTGCCACCTGTATTGACATTTGTGAATGCCCTGCTGGTAACTTTAATAACAAAGGGTTTCCATCCATCATCATTTACATCAGAATTTTTCAGATTCAAAAGTTGGAAAAATGCAGTGAATTTTTCCAGATTTTGCATTTTTTCATAATTGACTGCATTTTTCAAACTTCTGAATCTACAAAATTCTGATATATATGATATTAAATGAAAACCCTTTTTTATTAATGTTACCAGGGCATACACAGACATTTTGATACAGGTGTCAGTATAGCAGCGTTTCCAACACCTTTCTCAAGGCCCAAGTTAGAAATGCAGATGTTTACACTGCAAGCATTATACTCAGTCGCATGGTTACCAGTATTTTTGGAAAGCACAGCATGAACCATAACATGCTCTTGCTGCATTAATGCACTTTCAAAGCACCCAAAATTTCCGATTATTTATGGCCATTCAATTTATAGTTCCTATATAGAAATAATGGCTGTTGAAATCAGGGTGTGGCGTGCAGTAATGCTATGCCTATATATAACTATGCAACTTTCAATTGAGACGCTATACGTAAAACTGTAAGAACCGGATGTTGCTTATTACCGTATTATTGGAAGAATGAATGCGGACAAAGTGGATTTCCTTTTGCATTCCAGGATGCTCTCAGTAAGAGTGAATGTAGTTTTCCTGGCGACTTGCGCAGCCGTG